CTCGACAACACTAGTCGAGTCGAGCCCTACCCCTGCCACTGAACACCCTCAACACTCATACCTCTAAGCTTATCGGCCGTTATAATACTAGAGGGGTAGGCATGTTGTCTAAACCAGGAAACACGAGATCAAACCAAAGAGCCAAGAGCAGAGAGTGAAGAGTAAACTGAAAACTAGTGAGTCGCGTATAATGGCGACCGGTCTCCCCTTTCCTACCATATTTCTCCTACCCACTCACTTCGAAGCCGATGAGCTACCAGAAGTCGAGAGTCAGATCCCGACACTGACTTATGACATCAACGAAGCCGAAGTCGTGCTAGGGAAAGTGTCGAAAAGGCCCCGCGCAATTCTAGAGCTCAGGTCCCGAAAACTTCTCACTGACGAGATCCAACCTACACCACCAAACAGAGGAGGTGCAGCAGAGGATACCTCAATCAGTCCACAGCGGCCAGCAAAACGGAGGAGGCTATCTCCCTCGGCTCAAGGCGCCCTTGTCTCCGGTGGCGGCACTGCCTCGGACACTGACGAGAGCTCCGGGGGGCGACAAGTCAAAGAGAGCCATGATGCTGGTGGAGGAAAATCACCAGCGAAGAAGGTTCCTCAACACACCACCAAGGCAGCACGGAAAGTAGATGATTCAGTAGTCCAAGTTGTTCGGCTCTCGTGGTTTACCGACAGCCTGGCCAAAAGAACAGTGCTACCCGTAGATGATTATCTAGTATATCAAGGCCGAAAGAGAGCACCCATCTCAAGCCAGCCATTGCCTAATGCAGAAGGCATACTAAAACGCGCAAGGGAGGATAATACGGCAACCCGTCCGGCGTCGCGGGACCGAGCCAAGCACAGATACGCGACACAGCATCCAAGATCAGCTCACGTCAAGCGTCCACGTCTCGCCCAGGAATCAACTTCAGAACACGAAAGAGCTGCAAAACTTCCACCCGTCCCGGACTACCTGCACACAGAGTATTCCTGTCAACGTCCCGCCCCTCTCAGTAGCCCCAACTGCGCATTCATCGAGCAACTCAAGAAGGTGCGGACGCTTAGGACACTGGAAGGTGACGAGGTGGGCATTCGGGCTTACTCGACCAGTATCGCCGCAGTAGCAGCATATCCATATCTCATTTCCTCCGCATCCGGTAAGGCCCATCTCTCTCTTTTCTACATGTCTTCGAGGCCTGATGCAATTGATAGAAGTTGCCAGATTACCGGGCTGTGGCCCCAAGATTGTGGAACTTTACAGGCAATGGGAAGAGAATGGCTATCTAAATGATATCCAAGAAGCTGCCTCAAACCCGAGGATGAAAGTGTTGTTGTTATTCTATGATATATGGGGCGTAGGAGCAAAGACCGCCAACGATTTTTACAACGGCGGATGGCGGGACTTAGATGATATCGTCGAGTTTGGGTGGGATAAGATCACTCGTGTCCAGCAAATTGGCGTCAAATACTACGAAGAATTACAACAGAAAATTCCGAGGGCCGAAGTCGAGAACATTGCGGCCGTCATATTAGAACACGCCAACCAAATCAGAAGCGGCTTCCAGATGGTCATCGTTGGTGGTTATCGAAGGGGCAAGGCGTCGAGTGGCGACGTGGATGTTATTCTCAGCCACCCTGACTCCTCTGCCACCGAGTTTTTCATCAACAATATAGTAGCAAGCCTTGAAAAAGCTAGTTACATCACCCACACACTCACCCTCAGTGATAAGAACAGCGAGCGTGGGCAGGCTCCCCTTGCTTGGAAGGGTGACCGCAAGGCGGGGAGTGGCTTCGACACGCTGGACAAGGCTCTGGTGGTATGGCAGAACCCAGAATGGGACACGACGAAAGCGCCGAAAAACACGAATCCACACCGAAGGGTTGATATTATCAGTGAGAAACTCTCTTTCTCTCGCTCTGTTAACGCACCAATACTAATGGTTCATCGTAGTAAGCCCCTGGAAAACAGCAGGCTGTGCGGTGGTAGGCTGGACAGGCGGCACGACGTTTGAGCGAGACCTCAGACGATACTGCAAGAAGGCGAAGCAGTGGAAATTCGACAGCAGTGGCGTGCGGGAGCGCGGGGATGGCGGCGAGTGGGTTGATCTCGAAAGCGATGCTGATGGAAACCCTGCGCCGGATATGTTCGAGGCCGAGAAGCGCGTCTTTGCGAACCTTGGCTTGGAATGGCGACCCCCGGAAGAACGATGCACTGGCTGAAATCGTGATCACAAAACTTATATGTATCTTATTTATCTCGAATTTCGGTTCGCCACGGGTTGTTTCGGGGCTGAATTCGAAATCGCTCGCAGTGTAGTCCTCCATGTGTTATATCTATCTATCTACACTAGCCGACGAGCCACATATATACTCTACTTCAAATACGGTACGGCGATTATAGCCTCCCGTATTCGATAGTTATTCGCTTATAACAGCACAAAGCTGGTCAAATGAGGCGGATAAAAGATGAACATATTATTGATAAGCATACGAACCGAGAAAAAGATTACTTAACCTCGCGCCGTTCATATTGGGAAAACTATCCGCAAAGTCTGTCAAAGTCCGGCCATGACCTATATCCTAGTGTACTTCCCCATTAATTATTTTTCTCATAATCTCTCGGTTGATCGCCTAAGCCTTTCTTTCTTTCTTCATATGAAATTCAACGCCAGGAACCAATATCAAAAGAGGCTTTCTAGTACAGTCGGTGCCCGAATATGGCGGATCCGCCGACCTTTTTTTTCTACCTAGCATTCCCAGGTTCTGCCCGCCCGCCCCCTTGACCGCCGAATTTCAATACAAATCGTTCCTTTCTCCTCCTCCTTACAGATGCGCCTCTACGGCCAACTTCGGACCTTTAGCGCCCGACCTCTCGAGGATCCAGTTAGCGACATCCTCGTAGAACTCCTCCTTGCCGGGGTCGGCGTGTAGCTGGTGCGCGAAGCCCTCGAAGGCCTTGAAGCGCGCGTCGGGGATCTTGGCCTCGTTGCGCGCGAACCACTTCTTGCTCTCCCCGAAGCTCGTCGTCTTGTCCGCGGTGCCGTGGACCATGAAGAGCGACTTGACGTGGCTCGACAGGATGAACTTCCCGCTCGAGAGCCCGTCCGTGCGGTCGAGCATCGCCGCGAGCCCCTCGAGAGTCCCGTAGTCGTGCATGAGGTCGTCGGCGCGGATGCTCGCCTGCACTTCCGGATCCCGCGTCACGTCCTCTGGTGGGATGGGCCGGTAGAGCCGGAAGTTCGGCACGACGTGCGAGGCTAGTCGGCCACTGGCTACGGTGAGCCACGAGGGCTGGAGCTCCGGCTCGATGCCCACGAGGGGCGATTCGAGCACCCAGCCACGGATCTGCTTTATGAGATCTTCGTATTCTGGCGTCGAGACAAGTGTGAGGACTTGTCCGCCGCCCACTATACATTCACGAGGTCAGCGAGGTTGCCCTTCCTTTTCGTCCATTCGAGACCAAATCGGAACGAGAGTTATATCAGGAGCGCTATTGGATCAGGCGTGGTCTTTGGTGACTTACTCGAGTGCCCTATCACAAACACCGGTACATCCGAGGGCAGTTGAGTGCGTATGAATGCGGCCATGTCGGCGAGCACGCGCGCAGTCGGCCCTGACTTTCCCTTATCGCTATCCTTCTTCACGCTCCGTCCCCAGCCCCGCTGGTCGAGGCCATAGACGGCTATCCCGCGCTCGGCGAGGTAGGGGAAGAACCCGTAGTACCGGCCTATGTGGTCACTGAAGCCGTGAAACATGATCACCCTGGCTTTAATAGGGCCATCGGGCTGGGATTCCCCACGTCAGTTAACTCGTGCATGTATTCGTGCGTGTGTGAGATGTGTATATGTAGATTATGGCTTTTATGAGCTTTGCGACTTACCAACCATGTCTTTGTGTATAGGCTCGCGCCATCGATGTTGACAGTTCCCTCTGTTTCCTGAACCATTTCGGCTATGTAATAATGATACTAGTTGTATACTCGCTGTATCCAATGGACAATCCAAGAGACCAATATACAAACACCCCCTTTAAGGTCTTACCATATAAGCGGAAAGGAAGGTTGATAAATGACCGAGGCTCTTCGTGACCTTCTTACTTTTCGACCGTAGTAGGAAAGAAGTCAATTAAATTTTTGATGAGATGACTGAAAGTTGAAGCTTCGTATATCCTCGAATAAGAGACGGGTGGATACTCGCACTGGTGAAAGAGAAGAAAGAGGCTGGATGAATTGAGGCTCGAATTCACATGCCATGCTGACGGCCATGACAAGCCCCCCGTCCATCATAGCGCGGAGCCGAAAGTAGCGTTGAACTATCTACTGCTAGTGTAGTGCATAATGTAATTGTAGAGCAGTCTAGTCGCATTTGACTAACCTATCTTAGACCATAATTACCACAATAGTACTAGTTCTCTATCTCCTAGTATATTAATTAGGTATATAGTACACCAAGTGCGTGCACTACAAAGTATACATGGGGTACAGTTCCTCGGCCTTTGCTCACCAGTGATGGAGGGATCAGAATATCCGACTACGAACCGGCACGGGCAGACCCTAGGTCCGATTGAATGGACGTCTATTATCTTCAGTACGTGTATCCAGACGTTTACTTACATAGTGTAGATAATGTAGATCATTTACATCCTATCCCGCTTTTTTAAGTGGTGGTACCTCTTAATGCATGCACTTCACCGCGGGTCAAAGACCTACACACCTAAGGTTACTGTTGTACTGTCCTTATGTTACATCGCTAGTCGTCACAAGATCCTCACTTCTGCGTAATTGATGCCTTTTCCCACGTTCCGTCTAAACATAGCAACGGACGAACCCCTCCCTACACTGCCCATGGTTATTAGTATTGCTACAGGCTAATACTTCATTATCCACCAAGTATACTACAACATTAAATCAACCACTAGTGATCTAGAAGCGCCATCCATACCTAGCCACCTCCACCTAGTACGAGCTAATCTTCAAGCACACATCAAACGACGAATAAGGAACACTTCCTCCAACAGCAGCGGGGATAGCTCAGTTGGGAGAGCGTCAGACTGAAGTTCCAACTTCATTCTTTCAATAATCTGAAGGTCGTGTGTTCGATCCACACTCACCGCACAGCTTTGCTTTTTGCATTTACTTTCTGTTTATCTACCTAGGTATTTATTCTATCTTTCTTTTTACTACATGTACGGGCGCGCGCGTGTGTGCGTGGCGTAGAATTAACAATTATTTTAACCGTTTCTAACTGGTGACCGACCGATTATTGGTTGACCGGGCCAGTTCGGGACCGTGGCCGATACGGACAAACTGGATGTCGCTCTCGGCCGGCCATCTGTACAGTCGAAGCACGATCGCGTGTAGATAAACTCATTCTCTAAGAAATCGATTTCCCTCCTCCTTGTGGGATGGGATGGATGTAGTTATCCTTCCTCGCCCGTGATCACTCAGATATAGCGTTGTTTCTTCCAGACGATCGGATAGGTAGATAGATGTCCACCCTTTTCTCCTTCCTTTGGCATCCGTGTGAAAGCAGTCACCGGATAGTTCTAATCCTTATTCCTTTAGTCTAGCTGGGATTTCGCCTGACGGCTGGCTCTCTGCTCTCCCCTCAGAGGACTTGTTTCAATTTGTCACGAGGTAGTTCCAATGTCTCGCTGGATGACTCTCATCAAGCATCTCGTCGAGTGTGGTTAGTGTACGTATGTATATGGTCATTTGGTAACTCCGGACTCTCAACCCAATTAATGATGAATGCTAATGTTCTACAAAAGGAACCCTCTCGGGCTTTTTTGTTCAGTTTCGCTCTTGCTCAGTCAGAAATTTATTCGGCTGTCCTAAATGGCTAGATCACAAAATGATGTATGACCGACTACGCGCGTCCTTGTGATAGATAGAATGTCGATAGGATTATTACGTATTGTTGACAAGAATCGTGTTGAATCTTTTGGCATTTGATTATAGTGCTACTACATCGCCTCCTAAACGAGCATTAGTAGAACAACTATAAGCAGCGTGGTCGAGCATCTGTGTACAATATATACGTTTTGGTCCTCAGCGAGACTGATAGTCAGCTATTAAAAAGATTCTGAGAGAGTACCTTTTAAACCAGGATGGTTAGTTACCATTCATCCCCTGTGCTTATTGATCCATTTAAAAGGATTGGGCCCCTAACATTCGGAGGGTTAGCTAGTGTTTGTTATGTTTGCTGCGCACACTTCCAACAAAAAGTTGATAGGTATACCTGTATCGCATAATATACCCGTGTCGGGGTATCAAGTGAAGCAAAAGTAATGGTTGCGGTGAGTGTGGATCGAACACACGACCTTCAGATTAATGAAGAATGAAGTTGGAACTTCAGTCTGACGCTCTCCCAACTGAGCTATCCCCGCTTGATGAATTTTCAATTGCATTATGTTGGATTGTGATGTTGGGGACTGCCTAAAGTAGCGTGCGTGTCCCGCTTCTTCGGGTCCCAGATAATGAATCTCTGTGAGTAAAATGCAAAGGGATGGGAGCGGAATATCCTTAGAAGTAGAAGGTCTACCTCGCTCTTGGACATGATGAAGCCCTGTTTCACCACAGATAGTGATGGAGTTTCGTCATTGGCTGACGGCTTGGGTTTTCGTCCCATCACTCTACACGGGCTCCAACCACCGTTGCTGTTTATGTTGCTCGCATCGTGATATTTACGTCTTCATCTATCTCTAACGTAGCCCGAATTTGCATGACTTCTGATGAAGTCACACCGGCGATTAGGATGTTTACCGGTTTTTGGTCTCGACGGCGTTTGGCGCGTTTCATGCCATCATCCCTTCCCTCCATATTCCACTTGATGCGGGCATTCTTAAGGATCAATGTTAGTCGATCAAGCCAAACTAATCTTCTTCAATTAAACAATCCTAAATGCCCCTTTAGGGAAAAAATGACCCAGAATCGCTACGAGGATTCGTAGACAAAAACCTCTGACGGCATGACTATGGGCCGGCTAAGAATAAGGTATCTCGCCTAATGGCGATATCTAGAAATACAAGTCATGCTGAGCCGTTCAAATATTGATAGGAAAGTAGTTTCCTTGACACAGTATTCTTAGTGTAGGAAATATTTGACTGAATGAACTACACTAGAATCACTCTATGCCACCCACCTAGGACTACATCGAATCCCAACTAGCGGAGACCTTGCTAAAGAAAGGGTACTATGTTAAGGCTAATTGTGATAATGGGTATTATGTTAGTAAGTACATATGTCCACCCGATAGTAACTAAGTATGTAGCCGACGACCTAGCCATAGGGAAAATAGGGGCGAGCTACATGGAGCAGTGAGTTGTAGATGCCTACCGGGCAAACAACCGAAAACAATGATTGGATATTCTTTTCTTCTGGGTATGCTACAGCGTGAATCTGCCTTACTCTCCATATATCGAGTGGAGAGCTAGATTAATCTACTTACCTGCTTAGATACTATAACCATTCAGTAGTCCGGTTGTCAACTAACTAGGCAAAGTAGGCCGAGTATAGGTATAATATACAAGAGACACTTTTCTCCACATATACAACCTTACAAAAGATAGGGGAAAGGGTCGTCTCAACGCGCGAGACCACGACTTTCCTCTCCGATCCCCCCACGTGTCTTTCTATGTATGGTATCATCTCTTGCCGTACCTGATTCTATCTTATTCTAAACATCCGACCCATCCCTTCCCGGCCAGATAAAGAAAAGAAAAAATGCGTAGAAAACGGGTATGTTAGAGATGGTAAAAGGAAAAGCGGCTCAGCCCTGATTCTCCTTCATATCAACATGAGTAGCATATATATAATAAATTGTGACAAGATCGTTGGAAGTCCTCTCTTCTACTTCCGTCGCTGTTCGTCTTCCTTTTCTATATCGTCGACTTCCTCTTCGTCAATGATCTCATATTCTTCCTCGGTCATCTCCGCTTCCGTATCGACGTTATGTAGAAGTCGGTGAGACGGCGCCGGGGGGTGTGGGTTCTCGCCACCGGTCATCTGCCACTCCATCAGCTTGCTGAAAGCGCTATCTTTATCCGCGCTGAGCTTAGTGTAAGACCCCGTCTCAGCGACGGAGCCCTCGTTGTTGAGGACGATGATGATATCGGATCTCTTGATCGTCGATAGACGATGGGCAATCGATATGGTCGTCATGTTGCCGCTCATGAGCTGGGCGAGGGCAGCATTGACGGCCACCTCGGATTCGGCGTCGAGGGCGGAGGTGGCTTCGTCGAGAATGAGAATGTCGGGGTTCTTGAGGAGGGCACGAGCGATGGCGATGCGCTGCTTCTGTCCTCCTGAGAGTTGCGTGCCTCGAGAACCAACCTCCGTGTCTAGGCCCTTTTGAAGCTTACTGATGAAAGTGCAGTTAGCTCTCGAAGCGGCCTGGACGATGGCGGCGCGGTCCGCTCGCGGGTTGCTATATGCAATGTTCTCTGCAATTGTACCAGAAAATAAAACTGGCTCCTGGGCGACTACGCCGATATGTCGGCGCAATGACTTTGCATTCATCGTGGCGATATCCACGCCGTTCACGCGGATCGAGCCGCTATCGAGGTCGTAGAAGCGTAGCAGCAGGGAGGTTACGGTGGATTTCCCGCCACCCGAAGGACCAACAATGCATACATTGCTGCCCCCGGGAATTGAAAAGCTCATGTTTTTGAAGATTTGATTATCTGGGCGTGTGGGGTAAGCGAAAGAGACGCCTGAGAACTCGATGAGGCCCTTGGCCGACTGAACGCGAACGCCGCGCGTCGGGGCAATAGCCGGTTTGCGATCCTCTAGTTCGAAAAGGCGAGTCGCGGCGCCCACACCTTTCATGAGCTCTGAGAGGAAACTGGTGACTCCTATAACACTTGTTCCGGCATATACAGCGTACATCATGAAAGTCGTCAGGTCACCTAGTGTCAAGAACCCCTCTCGAACGAGACTGCCGCCGTGCCACAGCAGGCCGATTACGATCATGTTACCGAGCCATCCATTGAGAGCGAAGAAACGTGCATCTGTCAAGGCCTGGGTCTTGCCGATATTAAACAGCTTTCTGACCTGGGTATTATAACGGCCAACCTCCTGGGATTCGCCCACAAAGGCTTGGATTGTGCGTATGCTCTCCAGCCGCTCGTTACCGATCTTATTCAGAGCACCCAAGGCTTTCTGTGACTGGGTAGCCAATCTTCTCGCTATTCGACTGTATACTACAGTGCCAGCGCCGATGAAAGGGGCGGCGAGGAATATTGTCAAGACGAGGCTGGGGCTGATCCAAGCCATGGCGATAAAACTTGCTGTGCAGCTGATAATGGACCGCAGGCCATCGGAGACATTCTGTGTAATACTCTTGCCAACAATAGTCGTGTCGGCGATGAAGCGAGAGGTCAGGTCTCCCACCTTGTTGGCATCGAAGAACTCGCCTTCTTGGGCCAGTGTCTTGCGATATAGGAGGGAGCGCAAACGCGAGACTACACGTTCGCCGATGACTCGGAGGAGTACGATGCGACCAAAGTTAGCAGCTGCGCCAATGGTGAAGACCAGAGCTAAAGCCGGGAAGAATTGATACAGGGTTAAACCAAATATCGTGGTTTCCGCCGAGTCGCTCGTGGCGAGATCTGGCGGCCGAATTAGCTCCGAACAATAGAACAACGTTCACCCAACCCTTTGACCGGGCCTGTAGTGCAACTTACTCATAACCTTTCCAATAGTAAGAGGGACGCTTATCGTGACGGCAGATGAAACGAGGAGCAAGGAAACGGCACCCAGCAATGGCCATGTCTCGCGACGTGCGATCCGAAGCAGCCGCCAGACCTCTTTTAGGGTAGACCATTTCCTAGCTTCATCCTTTTCTTTGGTGAGGCGAGCACGGAGATTCAATCGTCCTGCCTTGCTACCCTTTTCGAGCGAAGAGTTGAGATTGTGCTGCTCAAGAGTAGTGGCCGGGTTCTCAGATCGAGAACTTGTGTCAGCCGCACCACCTGTCAGAACGGTTGCGCCATTGCCACCGACGTCACCGGACCTAGACGCTACAAGTGTCGCATTCTTGGGCGTGTCTGAAGAATTGCTCTGGATATCCTTCTGGATGTCGTTGTGGTATATGCGCGTAATAGAGAACCGCC